ACTTCTTTTAGGCTGGTGTGGTAAAAGTGGCCATTTAAAAGCATTTGATAACCTAGCCAGTTGGAGGGTAAAGTGAAGAGTGCCAGAAAAAAATCAGTAATTCATTCCTTTATACATTATTATTTATCAAACTACATATCATTTTACCTGAAATAGACTAAGCTAAAAGAACATTATTAAGCACTTCATCTAAAATCAAACCCTTAAAAGATAGGAGACTTAATTCGGACCCCCTCTGTACACACATTATGATACAGTCTTTAATTACACAATCACATCTTTTTCACCCCACAGGAACCCCAACCTCATGTAGTGTACAGGCGGGACGATACTCATTTAATAATCAGCTAATTTCATGTTTTGCTTTGTCCTCATTGCTCAGCGTGAGGCCCAATGGCTTGTGCAACGCACACTACTCAAACTCTGCTCTGAGGAGAAAATTCCAAGCTTTTCTATCTCCCTCTTCACTACAGTAACTGAGTTTTCACAAATATATTGTCACACCTGGTCATGAGATGAGTGCATCTCATCCCCATTCTGCAGAGGGAAACAGAATCACAGATTTGGACGTGTCTCTGCTCTTCATTGAAAGCATCAGGAAATAGGCACTCAGATAGCTCTGAGGATCTGGGCTGATGTGAATAGGGAAACTAAATCACATTTCCAGAAATGACATAGGCATTTAGCCCGATCATTAAGCGTATTTAGGTACCTAAAGTGAAGCTTAGTGGAATTCTGAAGTGTGCCTAGACACCTAACTCCCACTGAAATCAGATTTCTGCTTCCCTTACCTCCTTCCCTGCACCCCAAGAGTGCTCAGTCTCCTTCCAGCTCCTCCCGCTACGTTCCCACTCCTCACCCCTTCAGCCTCCAGTCCTAGTTTCCCCTCCTCTCACGGCTCCTTATCCCAATCTACTTCCTCTGCCTGCCCCCTCTGGTCCCAGCAGGTCCGGCTCTTGCACCCCCTGCCCTTGAATCAAACACCTACCTCCTGCACACTGCCTGTGCATCACACAGTGTTCCTGAGAGCACAGAAAATACAGATTCCCTGCTCTCATTCCAGGCTGCTAGATTGGGACACAAAGGCTCAGAACTACAATTGCAGGGAAAGTGCTTCACTATAGTTTGGAGCATGCCAGTGTGGATGAAATCTTTGAGGGATTTAGCAGGTAAAAGCTAAGAAGTCCCTGCTGAGCACATGGGAGTTCCTTTTTCAGTGTTTTATATGGCCAGATTTAGACAGATTTTCATAGGCACATCCCTGAAACAAAGGCAACTCCCCTTCCAAATTTCAAGTCGTTGTTCCAAAACACCGATGCTCTAGAGCCTTCTAAGGAAAGGTTAGTAGCCTTTTTTTTTTTTTGAGATGCTAAACTTATTTTTTATACTATTTGCATTCTTGAAAATAGTTGAATCATTTGGACTAAAATTTCCTCCCTCTTTCCGCTTAATCAGCTCCTGGCAGACACCCAGCACAGAAAATATTAGAGGAAATAATTATTATATTTGGGCAGAAATATAAGCAACTGGAAACAGGGGTTTATAATGGTAAATATTAGGCAACCTTAACAGGTGGCACTGCCAGCTCCACCTATAAGCTAGATTAATTCAGTACACAGGCAGGCGGGCTTGTTTCTTTAATCTTTTCTCCCACTGGTTTTTAACTGCTTTTTATGTTTGACAATGCAAAATATTAATTGGCATGTTATAATTATATTGCTTTTCCCTCAAGTAGAGGTTTGTATATAAAGACTTCAAACATACTTTGGAAATATTTCTTTATTAAACCTCATAACACACCCTTACAGGGTAAGCAACTTGGATTATATGAATTTACCATTGCATAAACGGAGGCAGAGTGAGGTTAACTGATTTCCCTGTGTCACCAGCGGAGATTATGTTAAAGGGAAGAAAAAAAATAACAGCAAATCACCAGGAAATCCAATGTAATTATAAATCTTCTTGAAATATATTATTCAGCCACTAGTTGTCCAGTTGCATTAACCAAAGAACGGTAAACAAACAACACAAAGCTGGAACTCAAGGTGTGTGGTGGTCTCTTTACACGCAAATGTATTTTTTTTAAATAAACCTCATATTTGAAGACTGTTTCCATATATTGACACATTTAGGAATCCTGATGCCTACTCCTCATGCTTTAATCACTGGATAATACCTCTTTACCTTATATTATTATAAATAACCAATAAAGAGATATAGAAAATTTCTGCAGGAAAACAAAATACACCTGCCAAAAAAAAAAATCATATATTTTAGGAAAGTCCAGAAATCATTTAAGTGTGGGACATTAACATAGCAGGTTTTTCTACTTAGAGGACTTGCTAGTGGACATTATTTTATCTGCCATTGTTATTTGCAGTGTTGTAGTAGCCATGTTGGTGGTGGAATATTAGACTGACAAGGTGGGTGAGGTAATACCTTTTATGGGACCAACTTCTGTTTGTGAAAGAGACAAGCTTTCAGGCTCACACTATTTTATCACCTGAGACAAGGTCAACATCCACTACTTGTCCATTAAACTCTCTCTGGGGCACACCCAACACCAGTATCAATTTCCTGGATGTGATGATCAGGCT